GATAGAAATTTAGGTGGGCGCTCTTTCCTGTGGTTTCCTACAGCAAGTGCACAGATAAAATCAAGGCAAAACTTTTTTTTTTTTTCAAAGTATAAAAATTGCGATATGTGTAAATCCTGTCACAATGTTGCTGTCTGGACCTGGATCCTGTGCTGTCTCTGGCAGTATGTCTTCTTGCCAAGCCACCTGAACTGATGGACAACTGCCTCTCCGATCCCTTGGACAATCTTGCTGAGTACATTGTTTCCTGTGAACCTTGAACTCTTTGTCCTTCCTATGAACTTCCTATGTAACCCCTTCCAGTTTGGACACTTTCACCCACTTCCGGTCTGGACACTTTACCCCCCTTCTGGTCCGGACACTTTCCCCTCCTTCCGGTCCGGACACTTTCACCCCCTTCCGGTCCGGACACTTTCACCCCCTTCCAGTCCGGACACTTTCACCCCCTTCCGGTCTGGACAATTTCACACCCCCTTCCGGTCCGGACACTTTCACCCCCTTTCCGGTCTGGACACTTTCACCCCCTTCTGGTCTGGACACTTTCACCCCCTTCCGGTCTGGACACTTTCACCCCCTCCGGTCTGGACACTTTCACTTCCTTCCGGTCCAGACACTTTCACCCCCTTCCGGTCTGGACACTTTCCCCCCTTCCAGTCCGGACACTTTCCCCCCCCCTTCCAGTCCGGACACTTTCATCCCCTTCCAGTCCAGACACTTTCCCCCTCTTCCAGTCCGGACATTTCCCCCCCTTCCTGCCCCCAGGCCAGTTTTCAGCTTTCGGCGCTATCACACTTTGAATGACAATTGCGCGGTCATGCAACACTGCACTCATATTAATTTTTTAGCATTTTTTTGAGACAGATAAAGCTTTATTTTGGTGGTATTTATTCACCGCTGGGATTTTTATTTTTTTTGCTATGTAAATGAAAATGTCCAAAAAGTTTGAAAAAAAAAAAGTGTTTAAATCTTGGCCAAAATTTATTCCGTTTATCTTTTTAGTAAAAAAAAAAAAAATTATAATTTTTAAACTATTTTTCTTACATTTTTATTTTATATTATTTTTTTTTTTTTTTGTTTTTTTACATACTGTCACCCTAGCAGTACAGTGTCACCATGGTGACACTGAACTGCTTGTGGAGGGTGATGAGGATTTTTTTTTTTTACACTGATTGCTTTTACATCCATAAAGGCTGTAAAAGCAATCATTTCTTCTCTCTGGCTGCATTCTTGCAGCCATTGAGAAATACTGTGTGAGCTGTGATTGGTCACAGCTTGTCACATGGTACAGGGCTGTTGTGAATAGCCCTGTACCATGTGACCTCTGTGATCATTCACAGATTTCACAGGTAGTAAGCAATGATGTCAGAAGTGACATCTTGCTTACTACTCTGTATGTGATCACTGATTGGCGACGTACGACGATCGGTGTTCCACTGTGTCCGGAGAACACAGCGGGCACCGGATCGCGGTGCTGCGCACTCCCAGGGAGCGTGCACAAGCAGGGGGCGGGGAGGCCGTTTATAAACGGCCACCCACCCCTGCACTGCCACCGTCCGGTAGTTTATATACAACAGCCGGACGGGAGGTGGTTAAGCCGCACCTTTGAACTTCCTGTTTGCCAGATTATTGTGCTCTCTCTCCAGTCGATATCTTTCTTCTTTGTCTACCTGCAGCAGTCCTTATCTTCACTACCATATGTTACCGACCTTTGGCTTGCCCGTTGACTATGCTTCCACTTGATCCCAACCTGCAACCACTTGTTACTGACCTTCAGCTTCATTACTGACTAAGCTTCTGCTTGATCCCAACCTGCAACCACTTGTTACTGACCTTCAGCTTCATTACAGACTATGCTTCTGCTTGATCCCAACCTGCAACCACTTGTTACTGACCTTCAGCTTCATTACAGACTATGCTTCTGCTTGATCCCAACCTGCAACCACTTGTTACTGACCTTCAGCTTCATTACAGACTATGCTTCTGCTTGATCCCAACCTGCAACCACTTGTTATGGACCTTCAGCTTCATTACTGACAGCTTCTGCTTGATTCCAACCTGCAACCACTTGTTACTGACCTTCAGCTTCATTACTGACAGCTTCCGCTTGATCACAACCTGCAACCACTTGTTATGGACCTTCAGCTTCATTACTGAAAGCTTCCGCTTGATCCCAACCTGCAAACACTTGTTATGCACCTTCAGCTTCATTACTGACAGCTTCCACTTGATCCCAACCTGCAACCACTTGTTACTGACCTTCAGCTTCATTACTGACTAAGCTTCTGCTTGATCCCAACCTGCAACCACTTGTTACGGACCTTCAGCTTCATTACTAAGCTTCTGCTTGATCCCTACCTGCAATATCTGCTACCTGGACCCTGGCTTGCTGATCTCCTGGTGGGACGATCTGAGTGCAGTGACTTGGCACTACATCATCTGCGTCATATGCCAGGAGGACCTGTTTCTGTACTTATTCAGCTGGTTGGTGGGAGCAGGGGTGGACTGACCATTCGAGCACTCGGCACTGCCCAAGGGCCCGGGGTCAGTAGGGGGCCCCATGAAATGCCCCTGGTAACTTTTTTATAGGCTTTTTTGAGTGTGGGCAAGGACACAGGGGCCCCATGATCCCCTATTGCCTGGGGGTCCCATGAGCTGTCAGTCCGCCCCTGGGTGGGAGCCTCTCTACCGTTATAGCTACTAGTCTCCTTTTCACTATATAGAGAATTGGGTGTCAGTCAGGGGGCGTCACCTATGCGTTGGGTCCGTTTCATACAGAAGAAATGGCATTTTTAGTTTTCTCCAAGATTGGTCAACCCTGGCCGGGGTCCTGGAGCTTGGAGGCTTTGTAGAGACTTGGGAGGAATGACGCCTTTAATCATGGGACCACATTTTGCCAGCAAAGAGCACAAGTGTGCCTACACGACAGAGGTTTTTGCATTGAAGTCAATGGGAGCCATTTTGCACTGAAGTCAAAGGGACCGTTTTTGCACTGAAGTAGATGAGAATGTGATTTTGCATTGAAGTCAACGGGACACGATTTTGCCTTGGAGGCAGTGCGTGAACCCAGGCGCCGGGACACAAATTCTAGTTGGCATGGCGACCAAGTGCCTGGGATTTTTCGAGCTCTTAATTATATTTTTAGTTAAAGAATAAAGAAGAAAATTTAAAAAAAAACAAAATTAAATTAAAAAACAACAGTGTGACAGCATTTTAATATATAATTTTTGTTCTAATTTTTTTTTTCTATAATTATGGAAAAAAAACAAAACAAATGACAGAGAGACTAAAAAATGGAGTCACAAAGTAATACACATAGTCCTTGTAACTGACAATTGCACTGTTGTGCAATGCCACACCCAAATGAAATTTACACCCTTTTCTCCCCACAAATTGAGTTTTCTTTCGGTGGTATTGGATCGCCTGCGCGGTTTTTATTTTTGTCTTAAAAAAAAGCGTAAATTTTGAAATATTTTTAAATTTTTTGCTATAAAACACGTCCAGTAAAAAAAATTTAAAAAGCAAATTTCGTCATAAGTTTCGTCCAAAATGTATCCCACTCCATGTCTTCGCTGAAAAAAAAAAATCCAATACCTGTAAATTAATTGGTTCACGTGAAGGTTATAGCGTCTACAAATGGCGGGATATATACTGGGATTTTTTTTTTTTTACTACTAATGGCGGCGATCAGCGACTTATAGCGGGACTGCGGCGGGCATTCTGACACTGGGGGGGGGGGGAACTGACTTGGTGTCACTGACATCCCCAATGACACCAATACAGTGATCAGTGCTAATAAAAAGCACCAACACTGTACTAATGGCACTGGGCAGGAAGGGGTTAACATGAGGGGCGATCAAAGGGTTAACTGTGTGCTGGGAGTGTTTTACTAGGGGGCGGGGCCTGTTACTAGGGGGTGGGTTCTGTTACTAGCGCGCGGGGTCTGTGTGCTTCACTGTAATCACACTGCTCTGGATGGCTGTGCTGAGCTGACAGGGGACAGATCTGTATTGTTTACATACAGGTCTCTCCCCTCCGTCGGTAATACTCGGCAATCACCGGGCACCTGCAAGTAATCACTGTCCGGGACCTGGTGATTGACAGCTGAGGCCACAAATGGTGGCGCAGGTAGGGTGGCACACACCCCCTACCCGGACTGCGAAATCATGTATATATATATATATATATATATATATATATATATATAGGGCGGACAGGAAGCGATTAACAAGGTGTCCCGTCTGATGCTCTCCTGTGTGAACTCTCCGGTGTTCAGCAAATATTGTTGCCTGAGTGAAGATTTCCCGCACTCTGAAGATGGATAAGGACGCTCACCCATGAACAAGATGCTCTTTCCTATTGAAACATTTCTCACACTCTAAACAGGAGTAAAGACATTCACTTGTGTGGGTTTTCTGATGTATAATAACAAATTTTTTTTTATTTTTTTTTCAAACAAATGTTTGCCGCATTCTGATCAAGGGAAAGGCTGTTTGCTGGTGTACAATAAGGTGATTGAAACATTTCCCGCACAATTCTCTGACGTCTACAAAGGTCATTGAAAGATTTCCTGCACTATGATCATGAACAAAGATGCCCACCTGTGTGAACACTCTGGTGACTGACAAGGTGGACTTTCCGCGTAAAAGATTTCCCGCACTCTAAACACGAATAAGGACGCTCACCCGTGTGGATTCTTTGATGGGAAACCAGGTGTGTTTTTCTAATAAAACATTTCCTGCACTCTGGACATGAAAATGGGCGCTCACCCGTGTGGATTCTTTGATGGGAAACCAGGACTGACTTCTGAATGAAACATTTCTCGCAGTCTGGACATGAAAACGGGCGCTCACCCGTGTGAATTCTTTGGTGTACAATAAGTTGTCCTTTCTCATTGAACCATTTCCCGCACTCTGAGCATGAATAAAGTTGCTCACCCATGTGAACTCTCTGGTGTCTAACAAGGTGTCCTCTCCGAGTGAAAGATTTCCTGCACTCTGCACACGAATAAGGACGTTCACCTGTGTGAACTCTCTGGTGTTTAAAAAGTGATCCTTTTGTAGTGAAAGATTTCCCGCACTCTGAACATAAATAAGGACACTCACCCGTTGAATTCTCTGTGTGTTTAATAAGTGATCCTTTTGTAGTGAAAGATTTCCCACACTCTGAACAAGAGAAAGGACGCTCGCCCGTGTGAATTCTCTGATGTTCAGTAAGTTCTTTTTTGCTCGTGAAACATTTCCCGCACTCTGAACATAAATGAGGACGTTCACCAGTGTGAATTCTCTGATGTCTTCGAAGGTCATTCTTTACACTGAAAGATTTCCCGCACTCTGAACATGCATAGGGACGGTCACCCGTGTGAATTCTTTGATGGGAAACCAGGGCTGATTGCTTAATGAAACTTTTCTCGCAGTCTGGACATGAAAATGGACGTTCACCTGTGTGAGTTCTCTGGTGTATAGCAAGTTGTCCTTTCTCATTGAAACATTTTCCACACTCTGAACATGAATAAATATGCTCACCTGTGTGAACTCTCTGGTGTCTAACAAGGTGTTCTTTCCTAGTGAAAGATTTCCCGCACTCTGAACATGAATAAGGATGCTCATCTGTATGAATTTTCTGGTGTTTAAAAAGTGATCCTTTTGTAGTGAAAGATTTCCCGCACTCTGAACATGAATAAGGACGAACACCGGTGTGAATTCTCTGGTGTTCAGTAAGGTTTCCTTTCTGAGTGAAAGATTTCCTGCACTCTGAACATGAATAAAGACACTCGCCTGTGTGAAGCCTCTGGTGTTTAAAAAGTGATCCTTTTGTGGTGAAGCATTTCCCGCACTCTGAACAAGGGAATGGACGCTTACCCATGTGAATTTTCTGGTGTTCAGTAAGGTTTCCTTTTTTAAGGAAACATTTCCCGCACTCTGAACATGACAATGAACGCTTTCCTGTGTAAACCCCCTTATGGCTTAAAGAAGATTTCTGGTGCTTCGATGGATCTATTGATCTGCCAGCACTGTGAGAAATTGTATGGACATCTGAAGTCATAGTATGGGATCTATCAGAAGACTCCTCAGGATTAGAAGGATCCATTGATTGAACTTTCCAATAGGAAATCACTTTTGGAGAATATGGTGGAATGTCAGTATCTCTTGCCTTACAATCTGGAGATATAATATGATATTCCTCCGATGTATTTATATTCCGAGAACACTGTCCACCTGCTGGAAAGCAATATTTAATATATATTATGGTGAAGAATGTGACTGATGAACAGAGATACAGAGTTCATAAAATGTACAGCTGTGGTGGTAAAGACAAGTTATATGGGGCCTCAGGTGCTACTTCTGACATGTAGGTGGACCCTTCACCTGGTGTCCAGTATCTCCTCCTCATTTGTTGGGAACGTGACGTTATATTGAGGAATGGAGATGGACCTTTCATATGGTGTCCAGTATCTCCTCCTCATTTGTTGGGAACATGACATCATATTGAGGAATGGAGATGGACCTTTCATATGGTTTCCAGTATCTCCTCCTCATTTGTTGGGAACATGACGTTATATTGAGGAATGGAGATGGACCTTTCATATGGTGTCCAGTATCTCCTCCTCATTTAGTGGGAACATGACGTTATATTGAGAAATGGAAATGGACCTTCCATATGGTGTTCATTATCTCCTCCTCATTTGTTGGGAACATGACGTTATATTGTGGAATAGAAATGGGCCTTTCATATGGTGTACAATATTGTAACGGAACCGGACCCCGACTGCACTAGGGTATTTCCGTTAGACTCCCGCTTCCCTGTCCGAACACAGATCCACGGACACCACTGCTGACCATACAAGATGAGACAGCACCAGACATATATTAAAACAGGAAATGGACTGCTTTATTTTAACACAGACACAAGATATATACACAGGGCGGGGCAATACATTTAGTAACAAGAGACACACAGCAGACACCTCCCACCAAGCCAATACACAAACACATACATCCCATAATAGTTTGCTCCCAAGCAAGACACAATAGAACAATGGGACAACCACATGGCATTAAACAATGAACAACACCCCCACCCCACCTAATAAATGTCTACTCAATAGCAGGACATTTCACCATGTACCCCTAACAGGCACAGGGTGACTTACACATAAGAGGGATATGGGGAGCTGAGACAGGAGTCTCCCCACCTCTCCAAAGGGGGCTGTGTTCCATGGGCCCCCCACCCAAAGTCACTCCCGTCACAAATATCTCCTCATTTGTTGGGAACATGATGCTATATTGAGGAATGGAGATGGACCTTTCATATGGTGTCCAGTATCTCCTCCTCATTTGTTGGGAACATGATGTTATACGGAGGAATGGAGATGGACCTTTCATATGGTGTCCAGTATCTCCTCATTTGTTGGGAACGTGATGTTATATTTAGGAATAGAGATGGACCTTTCATATGGTGTCCAGTATCTCCGCATTTGAATGGAGGTGGACCTTTCATATGGTGACGTCTATATTGTTGGGGAATGAGGATGGAGATGAATTCATAGACTTCATTCCTCCTGCAAGGTCTGGAAATTTCCTATATCATGTTGACGGGTTCTTTGCTATACCAGCTGTAAAAATGAGGAATGGTCTTCCACAGAAATTGTTCCTAGCTGACTTGAAGTGTTTCTAATATTTATAATAAGCATCATTGTAGAATGTTGATCTGCAATTATCTGCCTCTTGGGATAAAGAAAGGAATTCTTTTACCCCAATGAATTATGGACAGAGAGTTTGTGGCTTTTCAGCCCTCCTCTGGATCAACTGCTATTTTAGATTTTCTTTAAGCTTAATGGACATATGGTATATTTCACTCCATGTAACAACATGTATAAAAATAGAGAAACTACAATGAGCGCTCCAATACTGTCAGCAGCTGAACATTCAGGGAAAACACATAAAAAAGTCCAGAGATAAATATGTAACAATGTAACAACATACTTTATACTTAGAGAAGTAGAACTAAAATGTGAACTGTTTCTGTGTTTAGTGTATATTACTTACTTGTCTCCATACGTAGAGAAGGTTCCTCCGGTTTACTTTCCACAATCATCTCCCCCTCTTCCATAGACTGCTGATCTCCACTCACCAACGTCTCTTCTTCTTCTTTAACCTCAACTTTGATGTCTTTCTGTTCTTCATCCTAAACTCCAAGGATTAATAAATAGGTACAAGAGATTATAATGAAGAACATCCTCTCATAGATCTATTTTTAAGTTTTTTTGCCAGTCCCATCTACCTGATCATTCTCTTTATAATTTTAATCTTCCTGAGTTGAATCCTGGGAATAGAGAGGACCTCTCTCCTCCATAGACTGCTGATCTCCACTCACCAACGTCTCTTCTTCTTCCTCTTTAACCTCAACTTTGATGTTTTTCAGTTCTTCGCCCTAAATGTCAAAGATGACAAATCATATTTATGAAATGAAACTAGAGATTACATAGAATATCATCTCAAAGTTTAGAATACATTTCTAGGTCTCCATGCTCAGTCCCATATACCTGATAATGGTGAGGGATGGAGGGATCGTCCTGTGCGGGATCCCGGGAATACAGAGGACGGGGACATCTCTCTGGTGGGTTCCCATGACTGGATCCATCTGTAGGAAACACACACACTGACTGAATCCATTGTTTCTATGTGTTTATCAGATGATGGGGGATCTAGGTGGATCCTCCGTACTGCTCTCTCCTTTCCAATAAAGTCTCCTCTTACCCGGTGATGTGAGGGGCGGCTGATTGTCCATCATGATGTCCTTGTAGAGATACTTCAGTTGATTGTTGGTGACTTCTAGAATCTTCTTGGCACTGGTTCCCTCTGTTGTCAGGTAGTGAAGTGGAGGCACTGTGATGAGTGATGTCCTGTGAAGAAAGTTCACTTCACCTGTTAGAAGAGAAAGAATAACAAACATCACCACAGAATCCTCAGCACTTCCACCTGATCTATAAAGGACGCTCCTCCTAAACTTCCAAATCAGGTATAGAGGCAATCACAGGTCTTGCAAAGAAGATAAAAATGGGGACACACAAATAATTATCTGACAGAGGTTAAATGGTTCTATATTTAGGACGTATCCGGTCTATAAACCAGAGGCTCTGGAGGGACGGTTGGATAAATGGTTCTATATTTAGGACATATCCGGTCTATAAACCAGAGGCTCTGGATGGACGGTTGGATAAATGGCTCTATATTTAGGATGTATCCGGTCTATAATCCTGATGATCTGGGTGTACAGTTGGATAAATGATTCTACATTTAGGACATATCCAGTCTATAAACCAAAGGTTCTAGATCAGTGGTTTCTCAAATTTCTAACGCCGGACCCCTTAATACAGTCTTCCTCATGTTGTGGTGACCCCCAAGTTGGATAAATTATTTTGGTTGCTATTTTAACTGTATCCGGTCTTAAACCAGTAGGAGGAATGGACGGTTGCCATATCATTGGTGTCATAGTGGGAGGAATATGCCCCGGTCATAAACCAGAGTGTCAGTGGATGGAATAGTTGCCCCATCATTGGTTCAGTGGGAGGAATAGTGCCCTATAAACCAGAGTGTCAGTGGAGGAACGGTTGCCCCGCTCATTGGTGTCTAGTATTTAGGACGTATCTGGTCTATAAACCAGAGGCTCTGGATGGACGGTTGGCTAGGAATAGGCCCCGTCATTGGTGTATCCGGAATATAAAACCAGTCAGGTGGGAGGAATAGGAGGAATCTGGATGGACGGTTGGAGGAAAGTGCCCCGTCATTGGTGTAGTGGGAGGAATAGTGCCCGGTCATTGGTGTCAGAGGGGAGGATAGTGACGGTTGGATAAATGATTATATATTTAGGTCAGTGGGGAATCCAGTGCCCCAGTCATTGGTCCAGTGGGAGGATATAGTGCCCCATCATTGGTGTCAGTTGGAGGAATACCCATCAATGGTGTTGAAATGGGAGGACATGATGTGCCCCATCAGACTGGCTTGTCAGTTTAAGGAATATGTGCCCCATCATCAGGTGGGGGGAGGAATAGTGCCCCATCATTGGTGTCAGTGGGGTGAGGAATTAGTGCCCCATATGGTGTCCCACTTGTTAAGGGAGGAAGTAGTGCCCAATCTTCTCAGGTGTTCAGTGGCCAGGTGTGAATAGTTCCCCATTATTGGTTCAGTGAGGGGATAAAAGTGTCCCAGTTCATTTCAAGTGTGCAGTGGCATTTGGAATAGTTGCCCTCATCAAGATGGATTCAGTGGGGGGAGGAATAGTGCCCCACTATCAGAATGAAGCCCCATCATTAGGCAGTGAAAAAGGAATAGTGCCCCATCAGAGAGTAGTCATTAGGCGTGGGAGGAATAGTGCCCCTGTCCTTGGTGTCAGTGGGGGGAAATAGTGCCCCATCCTTGGTGTCAGTGGGGCTCAGCAGGAAAAGTGCCCCATCCACGGGTGTCAAGTGGGGTGGAGGAATGAGTGCCCCATCCTTGGTGTCCCTGGGGGAGGAAAACACCCCATCAACTTGGTGTCAAGTGGGGGGAGGAATAGTGCCCCATCCTATGGTGTCAAAGTGGGGGGAGGAAGACTTGCCCCATCCTTGGTGTCAGAGGGGG